GCTCTTGGAGACTTGTCATCTCATAGAGCCCAGCGCTGTAATAACGCTGCATTTAACCAGAAGAAAATAAATCTACGTAAAGCTGATTCCTGTTTCCTGAGTGTTACTTCTTGGGGCCTTCAGATAAAAGAACCGGTTGCAGCTAAAAATGCTCTTGCCTTACAAAATGCTATTCTACATGGTAATGAATCCAACTTAGAAATGGTCCAAGCATAAGTGCAGCCTCATTTAATATAAACAAACAAATAAATAACTAAGTGAACAGAATGCTTTTTATTCAAGCTACTAAATGAGCAGATACAGTTATGATGGCAATTTATACAGGGTACCCGGGGCCATCTATAAAGTCTTTTGCCTTTTAGAAAAGTTTGACAGATTTTAGCACAAAACTATGTCATCTCAGCATTAGTGGTGGTAAATAGCTTTATGATTGCCTGATAAAACTGAACCCCTATCTGAAGGTGAACACTGTGATAGGAGATTGAGACAAGCATGCCGAGAATGAGTCTGGTTCAAAGCCTGCTTCTGACATTCTGACTGCTGCTGAACAGAGGAAGCATTTTAATGAGAGAATGTGGTTTGTGGAAGACTGTCACTGAAAACTGCTGATATGAAGCTGTAACTGGAGCTTTTAAAATATCTGACAGTATGTCACTTCTAAGGGAATAATGCTGAGATGAGTAAAATGCCACAAAGCTGCAGTGCCCCTGGGCAAGGCACAGAAACAGTTGTTTTCTGGCAGATATTGTGATTTCCAGCAGATGATGTGTATGTTCAAAACGCATACAAAGCACAGTGCGAGCCAGCTTAATCAAAAGACCCTGTATGCCATGGCAACAGAGATCTTTTAAAATTTGCATTGCCTTCTTCATACAAGCACAGTGTGATGCTGAGATTTGAAATCAAGCCATGCTGGTGTAGAAATAGAGCTCTGGATAGCAGGACATGAGTCATGACACAGAACTGTAGGCAGACCTGGCATTGCAACAAAGACAGAGTCAAATGTTCTGTTTCATCTGTCACCCACAACACTCTATTTGGTCATCACCCACGACGTGTGTTGTGTGTGTGTGTGTGTGTGTGTGATAAACCATGCGAGCCCCCCCCCCTCTAAATTCAGTTTCAGATTAAATTGACAATGGGAAGGAGTGTTTGTTCAGCCAAGATATTATACCAGGATACAGTAGTTGCAAATGGTGACTCACACAGGGAGGATGTGTGTGTTATTTTGGGGGTGACTGTGATTCGGTGGGTAGAGCAGTCGTCTCCCAACCGGAGGGTCAGAGGTTCGAATCTCGGTGCCTGCAGTCCACTTGTCGAAGTGTTCTTGGGCAAGACACTGAACCCCCAAGTTGCCCCCAATGGTTAGAGCCATCGGTTGAGTTGGCGCCGCAGATGGCCGCCTCGGTTCTGTACCGGAAACAAATTCCTTGTGTGTAACATACTTGGCCAATAAAGGTGATTATTATTATCCTTATGTTAAAGCATATCTTTGTGAGCAATTACACCTGAAGAAAATGAGACACCCAGAGTGTGCTTACAGCAAGTGTGTAGGTTTGTCCATTTAAAAATCTGCTTTCCTTTTTGTTGTAAGTGACCTTTGTGAATCATGTTTGATGCTGCAAGACCTACTGTAGCGACACTCAGTCACAACATTACTTATCTGTTAGTGTTGTACCTTCCACTGTGGTGGCTTTAGCCACAGTTAGCTACTCACAGAAGTCAGTCATAGAACCACTGAGTGAGTCTAGCAGTGGCACCATTTAATGGCAGAGCATCCAGAGACAAATAGTTTTCTATAGCCACAAATAATGTGCTGTTTGAAGCCTGTTGTGTGGAAAACAAAACAAGTCTGGTGTTGTCTTACCATTGAAACTACCTTTAGTCTTTGCTGAAACACTGTTTCTCTTTTTGTTGATGGACACAAGAAATTCACTGTAATCAATTTATGTTGCACACTTGTCAACTATTGATATTTAGCACTGACATATAGTCCGATGTGTCATCGGTATGTAAAAATGTCTGACTGATCAAGTTGCATAAATGTGAATATATTCTTTTCTGAAGTCATGTCACCTACAGATCATGATATATCAGCAATTTTATAGGTTTATTGCAAGACACACTGTTGGCTCAGTAGCACGTTTGACATCATTGCTTACAACAATAAACACCGAG